ACATATATATATATATATATATGTATATGTATATATATATGTATATATATATATATATATATATATTTAATAAAGGTGTTTTATCTGTCTGGAGAGGACAGGATTGTAATTCTTGTGGGATCGTTTATAACCCGCATATGTGGTAACATATTCTGGGCTGCTATCATATGCCACAGGTGATTCTGTACACTCTGATGATGTCTGACAGATACCGTCGTGATGTGGGTCAAGGGCTGCTCTGCTACCTCAACAAGGACGGCATGGTGGGCGTAACACCCTCAAAGTATGTACCTACGTAACACCCTCAAAGTATGTACCTACATAACACCCTCAAAGCATGTACCGACGTAAGACTCTCAAAGTATGTACCTACATATCACCCTCAAAGTATGTACCTACGTAACACCCTCAAAGTTTGTACCTACATAACACCCTCAAAGTATGTACCTACGTATCACCCTCAAAGTATGTACCTACATAACACCCTCAAAGTATGTATCTACAACCTTTCTCTATGTGTACCTTTCGCCAAGGACATAAGTACCACCAGCTCTCAGAGTATTTGATATAAATATGTTACTCGTTTTCTGCAGTTGCATTGGTATCATAGCGTTTGTTTACCAGCATTCACCTGTCGTACTTGTCGCAGTGTCATATGATAAAACGGAGTCACACCACACACCACCATGTAGTCTGTGTGTGCAGTGTCAAGTGATAAAACGGAGTCACACCACACACCACCATGTAGTCTATGTGTGCAGTGTGACCACACATATGTGCGTGTGTGGGAGTGCTGAGCATCTATCTTACTGATGTTCTTTCAACTCCGCGGGTGTCCCGTTTCGTTTGTGGGACAGGCGGACTGAGAGAGGAGACAGGTAGTATTATATTCTATGTGAAAGGAAGTCGACTTTCGAGAGATCAGCGATACTTCCGGATATTCATTTCTTATTTATAGCCAGCGATTGGTTTATACTATACCGATTTGTCACATACTTACATACCCGTAACGATCATGCGGCCTTTGTGATGTTCTGCAGATACGAAATCCGGTCACTTCTAATCGCAAGAAACAATCTCTCGAGAGCCATGGTCAATCCATTTGCTCTGCCAGCAGTGTCACGCGACGAGTACACGTGTAAAGGCTGCTTCCAAATCAAAGTATATAGTGTTCTGTATTTAGATAGAGGTGGTTTGATTCTTCGTAGTCAAAGTATGCGGTGTTCTATATATAGATTGGCATGTTCTGAGTGTTGAATTGATATACCATCCATCACGTATACTCGTACCCATATTATGCATGCCAGAGCCGCCTCACAGTATAAGCTGCAGTGGTTGTCAGTGGTCTGACCACGTCAGTTTCTGTCTTAACTATATAGTACATTGCACACACTGCCTATGCCTAGCGGTCCTTCGACCCGATACAAAAACCCTAAAAACCTAACGACTCTCGCAATCAAACGAAAAGCCAGTACCAAAACACGTGGTTCCACACGAGGCTAATGTATGCGCGGGGGCTGTTCTCCCCTCAGATATACATTCTACTGTATTCGTACACGTGGGTGTGTATGTTTGCGTGTATATCAGTATCCTAAACGCTAAACCCTAAACGCTAAACCCTGGCACCTACTCTCATTCCTGGCTCATGTGTACAAATTTAAATAAGTGCTGTACTAATTCACATACAAAGTCCTCTTTGCCATACGCTTGCGACCTTGCGCTTCTTCTGATGAACACTCAGTACTAACACACAGTACTAACACACAGTACTAACACACAGTACTAACACACAGTACTAACACACAGTACTAACACTCAGTACTAACACACAGTACTAACACACAGTACTAACACACAGTACTAACACACAGTACTAACACACAGTACTAACACACAGTACTAACACTCAATACTAACACACTGTACTAAAACACAGTACTAACACACAGTACTAACACACATTACTGGCTAACCATAGTCTATGGCTAACCACGATCCAGAACAGAGCTAGTAGAATCGCACAATGCCGACCGTTAAGGTGCCAGTACTGTTGGTATCTCTATACGCGTGTACCATCAATGTCAATGGCTAGTGCATGTCCCGAGTGTGCACATGAAGCGTAGATATATACCGGCACACACACATCCCTGAAACACGTACACCTGCTGTAGTATACGTATGTGATTGACCATACCATCGCCAGATTCGCATCCAGTCCCACACACACCCATAGAACACACACACCTCATGTGATATACGTACGTGACTAACCATACCATCGTACCTCTTACTACACAGACTTGCATCCAGCACAACGCTACATGCGAAGGAGGCGATGGAGTGAGCACTGGCTATCCCGAGGGGCTGTTTGACACACTGACGGGGCACCTGACAGACGCGCACAAGACCTTCATAGCCAGATGGGTCAATCTCATCGATCTCGAATCCAGATCCATATCCGGGTAGGTCCTGTGTGGGTAGTTACGCAGCATACACTTTGTCTCCTGGGCTGTGGCCCTGGTGATGAGGACAGGACCGGTCCCTTTTCTGACTGGTGCACCCTTCACCGGCCATCCTTATCCTGACTTGAGTGCATACCTGGTTTGACCTGAACTCAATTCCTGAGAGTTGCACGCTGTCAATACGACACACCTTGCACGCACCTGTCAGCGTCAGTGGTTGTCCGTTGTTTATTCCTAGCAGTGGCGATCTATGACGTTTATGGTAATGATATTATGATTGGGCTGTGCTGCTCAATACTTCACCAGGCCTGGCTTTATGCGTGTATGTATGTATACATGTATGTATGTATTTGTATGTATGTATGGATGTATGTATGGATGTATGTACGTATGTATGTATTTATGTATGTATGTATTAAATGTATGTATGTATATACATATGTTGTATGTCTGTCTGTATGTATGTATGTATGTATGTATGTATGTATGTATGTATGTATGTATGTATGTATGTATGTATGTATACATGTATGCATATATGTATACATGTATATATATATATGTATTGTATATATATATGTACCTGCGTACGTACGTCCATACATATATATTTATGTCTGTATGTACGTATAGAGGTTATCAGTCATATATACCATGCTCTTCAACGGGGTACCTACATATGAGCATCTGGGAGTATGCAGTTACCATATAGCAGATTAGTATTGTATATGGGTCTTATGTACAATGTCTGTGTGAATGCTACCGTATATCATCAGTGGCACCATGAATAGCCCCAGACAGCAACCATGGTTGATCTAGACTGCGGATTACGAACCGACTGACACGTGAGCATAGGATCAGACATATGTGCCTCAGACATACATCATATACTTTAAAACACACACACACACACACACACACACACACACACATGTACCTCAGACATACATCACAACTCTAAAACATACACACACACGCGTACACATGTACCTAAGACATATATCATATAATTTAAAACACACACACACATGCATGCGCCCCTATACTACGTGAGCATAGAATCAGACATACAGGATATACTTCTAAAACGTACACACACACACATACATGCCATTCCCCTCGTTTTCTACCACTATAGGAAACAGAAGGAGACCTGGAGCATGGACGCCTACAAAAGAGAACGCGCACGCCGATGCATCAGTCACCTGCAACTGACTGTGGATAGTACGTACAAACACGGGAGCTATTAACGGATACAGTTTACTTGTACTGTTAATATATATATGGTTCCTTACCTGTATGTGTTACTTTATGGTTAGGGGTTTTATCTAGTGGAGTTTGATGGTGTGCTGTAACCAGGCGTAGTACCACAGTCGTATTGAGAGTGAGAGTCGTAGGCTGAGCTTTGCTTCTACGAATTTCTCGAACGTTCTTATACCGACAACACTCACTCGTGCCTGCGTATAGTTGTGCGTGTTTTGGTCAATTGAGGGCACTTGGCGCAGACTTCTGTACTATGGCCAATGAAGTGAAATCTTGACTGAGACCCATCGCACACATAAACCAACCAACCGACCAACCAACCAACCAACCAACCAACCAACCAACAAACAAACAAACAAACAAACAAACAAGTGAACGAACAAACAAGTAAACAAACAAACAAACAAACAAAACAAACAAACAAACAAATGAACGAACAAACAAACAAACAAACAAATAAACAAGTGAACGAGCAAACAAGCAAACAAACAAGCAAGTGAACGAACAAACAAAAAACAAACAAGCAAGTGAACAAACAAACAAACAAGTGAACGAACAAATGAACCAACCAACAGGCCAGCTGAAGAAGCAGATTGACAACATGGTGGCCTTGCGCAGCTTTTCAGTGGGCGAGTGCTTCACTTACACCTTTACGCGCCATGCCTCCCATCCGGAACTGCAGGTGCGTGCCAGTGTCAGTGTCAATTTCAGTCTCAGTCTCAGTCTCAATACCTGTTCCAATACTACGTAGTGTCGCCTTCTCCTCCCGTCAGAAAAGTTGTCGTCAATGTATGCATATGTATGATATGCTTCAGAATTTAGGGTTTTAGGGTTTTTGTATGCATGCACATGCGCACGCGGGTGTATAGCATATGTACATATGCGCGCATGCAGATAGCGGTCTGAGAGGTTTACACTCAAATGTCAATCTGTCCATATCTGTTGGCCCGCAGACCGCACGGGCCTTAACTCATCTGGGTTTCTCGACTGGAGACTTGGTGTCTGTGGGCACTCACTCGGGTGTGTATGGGTTAGTCTCTGGGTATATACAACTCATCAACGCAACATCGGTGACTGTGGCAGCTGATCGGCCTGTACGAGTGCCAGCATGGGCACACACTGATGGGTATGTCATGTGCATCTCTACTATATATGTATGTATGTATGTATGCTTCTATCGATAAATATATATATATGTATATATATATATATATATATATATATATATATATATATATATATATATATATATATATATATATATATATATATATATATACTACTACACTACANACACACACACACACACACACACACACACACACACACAACACACCACACACACACACACA